CTTACCTCGAACCAGACTCAAAAATCAACCCGAAACCATGTTCCTGCCATGAGATTCGACTCCAAATGACCCAAATCTATTCAATTCAATTGCATAATGTAAATAATACTTCAAGTAACTAATTTTACAAATAATTTCTAAGCTAATACGCGAAATTAGGTGAAATAACCAAAACGCCGCTCGGGCCCACGTCTCGGAATCGTACCTTAATGACTAAACTATCCTTTACATAAATTACATTACAAAGTTTATTTTGTTCTTTTCTTATTATTCAAATTCAAACTAGTATTTATACCCGCGCGTTGCGTGGAGAATAGTAAATATAATTTTTTATAAGAAAATATTATTTGAAAAATACGACACACACAAAAAAGTATGTAAATAATATTATTTCATGAATAATTTTTTTTTTTGGTCGTCAAAAGAACTTATATTGATTAAGTAGTAACATTAGAAGGAGCTACTTGCATACTATTACAAAATGAGTTATCCAAAAGTTGCTGCAGGGGTTGGTCAGTTGTCAATGCAGGTGGATCGTAGAGAAGATCCGTTGTATTGCAGTGTTTGACAATACGCCGATAGATAGTCTGTAACGATCCGACCGGTCGTTTTGAGCTCTAGCGCTCCGTTCAGCAGCCTGAGGCCGTGAGCAGCTTCATTTCAGGTATTGTGACTTGTGCGCGTGGTCGGAATTGAATTTCGGGAAGTCCAGAGTTGATTTGGAAAGAGAATTCTCATTTCGGAAGCTTAAAGTTGAAAGAATGAACTAGGATTAGAATTTTGAGTAAACGACCTCGGAATCGGGATCTGAAGGTTCCAGCAGGTTCGTAGGATGATTTCGGACATGGGCGTATGCCCGGTTCGGGTTTTGGATAACCCGGGAGCGTTTTGGCGCCTATTGTGGAAGTTAGCATTTTTGAAGAAATTTCTAAAGTTTGGCTTGAAGTGCATTTCAGTGTTATCGATGTCCGTTTGGGATTCCGAGTCCGGGAATAGCTCCGTATGGTGATTCTGGAGTTGGGAGGGCGATCAGAAGTGAATTCGGAGGTCCGTAGGTCATTTTGGAGCCATTTGGCTAAAGATAGAAATTTGAAAGTTTTTGAGAAGTTTGAACGGAAGTGGACTTTTTGATATCGGGGTCAGAATCCGATTCCGGAAGTTGCAGTAGGTCTGTAATGTCGAATATGACTTGTGTGCAAAATTTGAGGTCAATCGGACTTGATTTGATAGGTTTAAGCATCGAAAGTAGAAGTTGGAAGTTCTAAAGTTCATCAAGCTTGAATCGGGGTGTAATTCATGATTTTCGTGTGGTTTGATGTGATTTGAGGCCTCGAGCAAGTCCGTAATGTGTTTTGGGGCTGGTTAGTATGATTGGTTGGGGTCCCTGGGGCCCTCGGGTGGATTCCGGGTGGTTAAGGGATCGAAATTGGGATTTTTGGACAGCTGAACGATCTGGTTGCTGGTATTTTCGCTTCTGCGGTGGGTTAACCGTAGAAGCGGCCCCGCAGAAGCGGAAAAGGGAGCCGCAGAAGCGGATTTTGGTCAAAGGCTTGAGGACCGCAGATGCGGTCAAGGTTCCACAGAAGCGGGACCGCATCTGCGGAGAAGTGAACGCAGAAGCGGAAGAGGGCATCTTGGAGAGGACCGCAGATGCGGTCAAAGTTCCGCAGAAGCGGGACCGCATCTGCGGAAGGCATGTCGCAGAAGCGAAGCAGGGCGTCCTAGGGAGGACCGCAGAAACGGTAATTTAACCGCACCTGCGGAACCGCAGAAGCGGTCAAGGGACCGCAGGTGCGGAAATAGCTGGAGGCAGAAGGTTGTTTTAAAGTCGGGATTTGGCCATTTCTCTCATATTTTACATGGCTTAGGTGATTTTTAGGGAGCTTCAAGAGGGGATTTTCGTCATCAACGTTAAGGTAAGTTATCCCCACCTATTTTGAGTTAAATACATCAACTATGTATGGATTTGAGCATTTAAATTAGTATAAATTTGAGGTTTTGGTGGAAAACCTAGAAAATTAGTAAACTCGAAATTTAGCCACGATATTGAGTATGGAATTTAGTGAAAATTATATATTTGAGTTCCTAAGGTCATGGGTAATCTTTATCTTCAAAAAATTTCGGATTCCGGGCACGTGGGCCCGAGGGCGTTTTGGTCAACTTTTCGATCGGAATTAGGAATTTGCTATAAATTAGATTGTAATGAACAATTGAGCATATATTAATGGATTTGCGTAACCGTTGGCTAGTTTGGAGCGGGGTGCATCAATTGGAATCTTCGAAAGGGCGTGGAATGCCGGTTATGGATCTTCGGAGCGAGGTGAGTCTCCTTTCTAACCTTGTGAGAGGGAAATGTCCCCATAGGTGAATTAATTGGATATTTGCTCCTATTTGTGGGGGCTACGTACGCACGAGGTGACGAGAGTCCGTGCGTAGCTACTATTATGCTATTGTCCTGGTAGTCTAGGACCCAAAAGCATGCTATACTTTGAATATTTGTACTCTTATGAATAGTTGAAATGCTTAAACCACCTCAAAATAGTAAATGAATTCCTAACAAGATGTAAACCTCATTTTCTTAAATTGTTAAAAGAGAATTAGCTGTTCTTTGAATAATTGCCCCATGTTGGCTCCTCGATTGAGTGTCTCTATGTGTTTATTTTGGAACGGGTCGAACGCCTTGGCAGATTAAATAGATGCATCTATAGGCGCGCCGTCGACTCTCGGCAAGTGCACAGCTTATTTCTGTTGGATCGGGCCATCGCCTCGGCATGATGTGCGCATGCTTGTATTGCTGCCTTTAGCTTAATTACGTTATTATTGCTTCTTCATGGCTTGAAGTTATTTGGATAATTACGAAAAGAAATCTTGGAAATTTTCTATAAAAGAATTAATTGTTTACTTGTTTCCTTGTAATTGGACTAAAATCATGTTTGTAGAAATCCATAATTTAATGTATTACTGACCTCACTATTGGACCATTAGTAAGTGTCGAAGTCGACCATCTCGTCTCTACTTCTTCGAGGTTAGGCGGGATACTCATTGAGTACACGTTGTTTTCGTACTCATACTACACTTCTGTGCATTTTTGTTGCACAGGTATATGTAACTCTTGTGGCCTACTGGGTGTAGCAGCACAGATGATTTGGGGCTAGGTGAGTTGCATTATTCGAGGCGGCCCGCAGCTAGTATAGCCCTTTTTCAGTATATTGTATTTATTTCCTGTCCATTGTATTCCGGACGGATGTTGTATTTTATTTCCTTTTCAGTAGATGCTCATGCACTTGTGACACCGGGTTCTGGGATGGTTGTAGGATTGTTAAATACCTACTTGGTTAAAGAGATTATTCTTATTTCAATGAATTCCATTACTTGTTGTCTAAATGTATAAAAGGAACGATTCCCTTAAGTTTAAACAAGAAGTTTCTAGTTATTGGTTGTTGGCTTGCCTGACAATGGTGTCCGGCGCCATCACAACCCTTAGTGGATTTTGGGTCGTGACAACATGGTATCAGAGCACTAGGTTCCTAGGGTCTCACGAGTCATGAGCAAGTCTAGTAGAGTCTCGCGGATCGGTACGGAGACGTCTGTACTTATCCTCAGGAGGCTGCAGGACTGTTAGGAGTACTTCCCTTCTTGATTCCTTATCGTGCGATTTGATGCTTGGAGGCGTATGCCTTCAATTCATTCCTTCTCAATCTTACGCGACGCAAAGCGCTTGTTATAAATCGAGAATTGAAGAATCATAACGGTACTACGGATGTGGTGCAAGATGTTTCTCCCGGTGTAGTTGATTTGATTATTATCGTCGCCTTATGGAATGATATTTTAATGTTTCAGCTCAGTAACGGTACTTCTGAGGGCTTTGGGGCTAGGCACAAGTTGCCATGATGGCAACGAATGACTGTTCCGCAGTAGCGATATGATGGTAGGATGTTTGCCCACGTGTCAGGGCAGTGAATGACTTGAAGGGAGGTTTACTCAATGCTTAATCAAGAGATTCAGTATTTTATTCCCGGCATGGGAAAGGCAAGGGGACTAAGGATGGTCAGATGTGGGCTGGTGGAAGTAATGAGACTTGGTATTTGCAAGCGTGGTGGAGCTTTCTTCTATGATGGGGTGTCGTTGTCCTAATTCAACGTACTAAGTTTGTCGGTGTTATGATCTGCTACAATTCACATTTGGGGCAAGATATTGTGAAATAGTATTGGAGATACAACTGTCAGATATCGCAGAGTGCGGAGGTTCAGGATTGAATCAGTATTTCTAATGTTGACGGTTCGATAAAGATGACCTTCGAAAAGGTTTAAAGTTAGCAGCAATTGTGGGTTCAAGTGCCACGAAGATAGATTTTTATTTAAGACAGCCACTGAATATCAAAGGACGAGGAAGGACATGTGGGAAGCGTCAGGCGGTGTTCAAAAATTCTAGAAAGGCCAGGTATATGAAGCGAAGGTCGAGTAGTCGATTAAGGGGATGAGTTCCGCCAAAGTGGGAGAGTGGCGGAGTTGCATATGGGCTTTGCAGTGGGATGATTTCGCACCTTAAGGAAAGTTTGGAATGATTTGGGATTTTAGTGGCTGGCGATTGAAGCCTACGGATGAATTAGAAGTATGGGCTATCATGCGGCAGGAGATTTGATATAACGGGACGGAGCTTCATGAATGGAGAAAGGATACCACATAACGTTGGATTGGAGGAATATTGCCGCGCATTCAATTGATGTCCACGAGGGGTGAATGGACTTGTGCAGCTGGAGAGTGAGCTCGGACTCAGGAGGGGTCATTGATGTCGTAGTGATTGTACCACATGCAGCAACGTTGGAAGATGCCGGGGAGGGACTTCTACAGGTGGGGTATTCCTGTGAGCAGGTTAGCAGTCGCATGGTTGGCGAGGCTTCTGCGAAGAGTTCTACTGGTTA